TGTTCCCAAAAATGTAACTCCCAAATGCTTAGAAAACCTATAGGTCCGTAGGGAGCCCAAATGGGCACAAATCAAATTTTTTCGCTTGTTTCGAGTATATAACACTTCTTGTGCATAAAAGCGAAGACCCCAGGCTTCTTTGAAAAAGTTCATTCTGCGTAGTCGGCCTTCGCCCGCGATTAGTGATTATAACCCTCACTAAGGGCCGGTTTCTCAATATCTGGTTAACACTAATCTGCGATTAAACATCGTTATCGACGTCTTCGACTCCATGCATACAACAGGGAGTCGGTAACGTCGATAACGATGTTTAACCGGAGATTAGTGTTAACCAGGCATTGAGTACCCGGCCCTCCGTACCTCCGTACCGTCAATTCGTTTCAAGTTTTCTTGTCTCTTTTGATCTTTTCGTTGCTTCCCATTTAAAGAACCAAGGACTTGAATTCAATTAAAGTTTACGCGTGTGGAAGCAAATAGAAAACACAAAAGAGAATGCGAAAAAAATTGCTTTCAAGACTTGACGTGTCTGAAACGGGACCTAGAGTTGGTTAGCGCTGTTGTTAGCACTGTTCAGCTGATGAGGGCTGCAGAGCTGGTTTGCACTGTAGACCTGTTACACGGAACAGGGTTGATATGTGTTGTAGAGCAGGTATGCACTATAGAGCTGTTAAAAGTGATAGAGTTGATATGTGCTGTAGAGCTGATGAGCACTGCAGAGCTGGTTTGCATTGTAGAGCTTTTAAGGGCCGGTTGTTCAATGTCTGATTAGCACAAATCGGAGGTAGAAGCTCCGGTTAAGCACAACTACTGCTTTATCGATCACATGTTACATGCATGATGTCGAAATCGTCGATAGTGTAGTGGTCTGATAACCAGACATTGAACAACCGGGCCTAAAAGGAATAGAGTTGGTATGTGCTGCAGAGCTGATGAGCACTGTGGAGTTGGTTTGCACTGCAGAGCTGTTAAGAGGAAATTAGTTGGTATGCGCTGTAGAACTGGTGCGCGGAATAACTTGATTTTTTTGCAATTTTCTCGTCTTTATTTTCATTCTTTACTCTGAGTACCGACTATGTGGTGAATATTTATTGAGTTACCGAGTCATATTTTTTTTAGAAGTGAGTCTGAGAGTGCGACACACTGCTGGGAGTCAGCTCAACAGCACCGCTCAGCGCTGAGTTACCCATCTCTACATTTTCGGGGATGAATACGCCAGGGATGAAATTATTGGTACCCATGCCTACTAAGCACGCAGGGTAGCTTTTGAGAAACACAAAATTAATTAGCTCAAAATAGTTTCAAAAAGTATAGTGTAAAACGAAATTTATTGAATAATTCTACGTAAAATATATACGTAAATTACTTACTATGTAAACGAAATTGAGATAGATATAGACAAATGTATACATAAATGCGTAGAATGAATAGAGAAGTCGATTAAGCCATGTCTGTTTGTCCGTCCGTCTGTCCGTCCGTCCGTGTACACGATAACTCGAGCAAAAATAGAGATATCTTAACGAAACTTGGTATGTGTACTTCTTTTCAGCGTAGGAAGGTATTGAAAATGGGAAAAATCGGATAATAACCACGCCTACCTCCCATATAACGGTAGTTTTCAGAAATACAAAAACTACGATATTTTAGTAACTACTGAAGATTATTCACTCAAAATTGATATTTACTAAAAATTTTAGACGAAAAATAAGAATATTATAAATTTTTGGAAAATGGGCGTAGCCACGCTTACTTGTCGTTACATGTGTATATCTCGGTAACCGCTACACTAATTTCTTCCAAACTTTCCACAGTTGTTGGCCTTGGTACAGCATACCAAATGGCCGAAAATTTGTAAAATCGGACAATAACCACGCCCACATCCCATATAACGGTAATTTAGAGAAATACAAAATCTTCTATAAATCAGTTAAGGCGCGTATTCATAGTCCAGCCACTAAGTCGAAACTAATAAAGTTGGAACTTAAATTTAAGTACCAACTTAAAATTCACTTCTATTCATAGTCGCATTTCAGACTTCTACTAAGCAGTTTTAACTTAGTTTTACGATATAGCAAAACGAGTGTGATAATGTATCGATTTTTCTTTACGATATTTNTCAAATTTACTATCAAATGAGATCAAAATTTTTAAAATCCATGCATTCGTTTTCAAAAAATTTTGAGTTAAAAAATTTTTTAATTTGAACTTTGACTCTTAATAACTTCTGTAGTTGTTGTTTCCACAAAAAATAAATATACCGTTATGTTCAGCTCGATTATCTCTATCGACCCCAATATTTATTTTTTTTTTATTTGAAAATCGGAGCTATTCTGCATTTGTTCCAAAATTTTAATTCATAGTCGNCAGTTTTAACTTAGTTTTACGATATAGCAAAACGAGTGTGATAATGTATCGATTTTTCTTTACGATATTTTGGAAAAATTGCATTTTTATTAAATAATGTCAAGTTTGATCATCCGTTTATGCAATTTTTACTTTCATTGCATGTTTATGCAAAAGAATAAGGTAAGTTTATTGTTAATTGTGTGAAATAGCCAGAAGTACCGCAATGATGTGAAGTCGATGTTTATCGAAAGCATGCTGTGAAACATACAAACAATTATCTAAATGTTATGCGCTAATTTGCTNGTTAAAAAATTTTTTAATTTGAACTTTGACTCTTAATAACTTCTGTAGTTGTTGTTTCCACANCTTTCATTGCATGTTTATGCAAAAGAATAAGGTAAGTTTATTGTTAATTGTGTGAAATAGCCAGAAGTACCGCAATGATGTGAAGTCGATGTTTATCGAAAGCATGCTGTGAAACATACAAACAATTATCTAAATGTTATGCGCTAATTTGCTTTAAAACAACAAGCTTGAAATTGACTAATTATATTAGCATTTATATATGTAAATCATTCCAATTATAAAATTGTGATATAGCCTTATTCGAATTGTAATACGTATTTAATTTCATCTTCCGATTCAAATGGATCGCTCTTTGTAAATTTTAATTGGAGATCATTCAATATTATCAAANAGCTCGATTATCTCTATCGACCCCAATATTTATTTTTTTTTTATTTGAAAATCGGAGCTATTCTGCATTTGTTCCAAAATTTTAATTCATAGTCGCNTCCTAAATTTTTACAATTTCGTCATTTTTCTTTCATTTAATAAAATACTTCTTCCTAGGTACGACTTAATTGCATCTGCAGCCGAAACTAAATTTTAAGTTGGTACTTAGGCAGAAAAGTCGAAACTAAGGCGACTATGAATAGCTTTAGTTGTAACTTAGGAAAGTTTCGACTTAGTTGTGAACTAAATATGACTATGAATATGCGCCNCATAGTCGCGCCAAAATGTCAAATGAGCACAAACGTCAAATCGAAATGTCACGGCTGGCGCTTCTGACTTTGCACCACAGTATAGACAGTAGCCAACCTTTTTGGGGTTGTTGTTGTTGTAGCTATATCCACCCTTGAGCATGAACCAATTAGAACAGATCTGTAGCCCGTTTCTGTAACTTTGCGATATAATAACGAATGATTTGTTATCGNTCGCTTTTCATTCAACGGTAAACTTCAGAAATGCTTGAAACTTCAATATTTCGGCTTACCATGTAGCGGTAGCTTTCGGAAAGGTCAAAACCATATATTTAATACTTGCGCCGGGTATTTAAAGTTCAGCTCCGCCTGAACTTAGACTTTCTTATTTGTTATATTACTGGTTACTGAACCCTAAATCTCAAGTCTCACTCTAGGATAAGCTCTTATTCTATTCATCTGTTCTAAAAAGGGTATGGACATATGGAATACAATTATGGGGCTCGGCAGACCCTCCAATATAGAAATAGATAGATGGCCTAGCAAGTAAGGAAGTCGAGTTTTAATTCGCTTAACCATAATGCATTCGTATCAATACATACATCCATAGCATATGTGTTTTGTACACTTTGAGACTATGTAGCTCATCGTGCCATACATGAACAAAAGAAAGAAGAGGGTTAATGTAGTCAAATATATGAATTGTTTACATTTAAATTTTCAAATATGTGTACGTCATATATTGATTTCACTTTGTTTATTACATTATGCTACTGTCTATACTGTGTTTTAAATGCAGCAAAAACGCTGCACTACGGGGTGTGCATAGCTCAGTGGTTACGGGCCAACCTAATATTGCCCGCGTGAATTTTTCTACGCACGCACGCCAGTTTTTCACATTTGAGTTGAGTTGGAAATAAGTTTCCGTGTGTGATTTTTCAGAGTTGCATTTCTGTCAAATTTCAGAAGTTGAGCAAATTTTGGGCATAAATGCAGAATAGCTTCGATTCTCAAATAAAAAAAAACATATGGGCATCGATAGAGATCATTGAGGTGAGTATAACGGTTTCTGCGTACATTAATTAGATTTTTGTGAAAACTAAACAAGGCATATATAAAGTATGTATATCAAATTAAAGGGAATCAAATTTACTATCAAATGAGATCAAAATTTTTAAAATCCATGCATTCGTTTTCAAAAAATTTTGAGTTAAAAAATTTTTTAATTTGAACTTTGACTCTTAATAACTTCTGTAGTTGTTGTTTCCACAAAAAATAAATATACCGTTATGTTCAGCTCGATTATCTCTATCGACCCCAATATTTATTTTTTTTTTATTTGAAAATCGGAGCTATTCTGCATTTGTTCCAAAATTTTAATTCATAGTCGCGCCAAAATGTCAAATGAGCACAAACGTCAAATCGAAATGTCACGGCTGGCGCTTCTGACTTTGCACCACAGTATAGACAGTAGCCAACCTTTTTGGGGTTGTTGTTGTTGTAGCTATATCCACCCTTGAGCATGAACCAATTAGAACAGATCTGTAGCCCGTTTCTGTAACTTTGCGATATAATAACGAATGATTTGTTATCGCAAGGCTCGTATCGAAATCGATATGAAAAGTGTTTCTGTAACTCAGAAAATTCACCTTGCGTTATGTGATTGTGGTGAGTTGTTAACATATCGATGGTACGACTGAAATGGAACAAACCATCTGTCATTTCTAGCGCGAAATTGGGGAAATGTTTAGTTATTGGCCCATCGTTTGGCCCCAAACCCCCCTCATTCGAAAGGGGACAGTCGCCACTTTACGAAAGAAGCTGCAATTGCTCTATTGAATGAAATAAGTCCTTTTATGAAAAACGGAGAAAGAGCCACGTTTATCCCAAAGGCACTAAGGATGACTGCAGCTCTGCATTACTTTGCAACGGGATCGTTTTTAAGGGATGTTGGCCAGGATTTCGTTTGCTCTTTAAGTAAAACAATGGTTTGTCGTTCTATAAAAGAAGTTACATACATCATAGAAGAAAAGTTGATGTGCAATTATATTAAATTTCCAACTACACTGGAGGATCAAAACAGAATTCGGTAATTTATTTAAAATTTATAAGTCTGTACATTCTCATGTGCACGTGTTGGTCATTTCTTTTCCAGCTTTTTTCTGCTACTGATTTTCCTGGGTGCATTGGTGCTATTGATTGCACGCACATAAAGATTAAAAAGCCAAGGGCCGATGTTGAGAGCTGCTATATTAATAGAAAAGGATATTTTTCAAAAAATGTGCAATTATTATGCGACTACAACCTTAACATATTGGCTGGCAATGCACGTTTTGGTGGTAGTACCCATGATGCATTCATATGGGAAAACAGTAAATGCAAGGAGTTTTTGGAAAGGCAATATAGCCGTGATGCAAATACAAGTTGGCTGATTGGAGATTCTGGATATCCACTACAGCCATGGCTAATGACGCCGTTTCCGGAAACGACTGGCCAAACCATTTTTAATTTTTGTCATATTCGGGCTCGAAACTGTGTGGAAAGACTAAATGGGGTCCTAAAGAAAGTATTCGCTTGCTTGTCACATGAACGTGGAGTTCTAGTTAAACCAGAATATGCTGGTTCAATAATTAACGCTTGCTTAACTTTGCATAATTTCAGATTGAAGCATAATCTAACTATTCCCGACGTATGCCTAATTACAAATTCAAATAGGGAAGCAGACTTTTCCGAAGAAAATCGCNTGCTTAACTTTGCATAATTTCAGATTGAAGCATAATCTAACTATTCCCGACGTATGCCTAATTAAAAATTCAAATAGGGAAGCGGACTTTTCCGAAGAAAATCGCTCAAACGACAATATTTTAAATCAAGGAAGAAGGGTTCGGGAGAGCATAGTACGAAATTATTTCAATTAATATTACATAACAAACCCAGTTTGTTAAAATGAATATCGCTAGGTGTTATTGGTGTCAAGGTACATACACTGTTGGCCATATCATTTTGGACCAAACTCAAAATGATATTGTTGCCACTTATCTATGTTTACTTACTAATTTTTAAGATTTTTCGATTAAAATGCAGTTCATCCTCTAAAAAAAACCACATAAACCCGAGTTTAAAGCTTTGTATAAAACAAAAAAAAAAAAAAATAAACAAAAGTTCATTCATTTTAAAACTTTCTTCTCAGTAGTGTTAGCATTGCTTTGAATATAAATTTTTATAGCCCATACATTTTTTTTGGTCGCAGTTGCTTCCAATAACTAATAAACACCACACTGAAGGAAGAAAAATTTAAAAAATCTATTGTAATTTTTAGCCACTTGAAACTTGCACACTATTGCAATAAATATGAATGGGCTATAAAAATTTACATTCAAACAAGTAAGAAAGTCTAAGTTCGGGCGGAGCCGAACATTAAATACCCGGCGCAAGTATTAAATATATGTTTTTTCACCTTTCCGAAAGCTACCGCTAGATGGTAAGCCGGGGTGTATCAATTTTGAGTAAATTAGCGTCCTTCAATTTCGAAATATTGAAGTTTCAAGCATTTCTTAAATTTACCGTTATATGAGAATCGGCCGTTATTTTAGTCCGATTTCAATAATTTTCAACGTTTTGCTTACACGTGGCAAGTACAATAACCATACCGAGTTTGGTACAAATTGGTAGAACGGTTACCGATATACATATATGTGATCATAAGTGGGCGGTGCCACGCCCATTTTCCAAAATTTTACCATAAACGTATTTCTTGGTAAAGAATTGTTGCAAGCATCAATTTTGAATAAATTAGCTTCAATATTTACTGATTTATCGAAGATTTTGTATTTCTCTAAATTACCGTTATATGGGATGTGGGCGTGGTTATTGTCCGATTTTAAAAAGTTTCGGCGATTTTTTATGCTGTACCAAGGCCAACAACTGTGCCAAGTTTGGAAGAAATTGGTGCAGCGGTTACCAAGATATACACATGTAACCATAAGTGGGCGTGGCTACGCCCATTTTCCAAAAATTTATAATATTCTTATTTTCCGTCTGAAAATTATTGTAAATATCAATTTTGAGTGAATTATCTTCAGTAGTTACTAAAATATCGCAGTTTTCGTATTTCTGGAAATTACCGTTATAGGGAAGTGGGCGTGGTTACTGTCCGATTTCGCCCATTTTCAATACCAACCTACCTTGGATTAACAGAAACCTACATACCAAATTTCGTTGAGATATCTCAATTTTTACTCGAGTTATCGTGTACACGGACGGACGGACAGACGGACAGACCGACATGGCTTAATCGATTTCTCTTTTCATTCTGATCATTTATGTATACATTTGTCTATATCTATCACGATTCATTTTGGCTGTTATAAACAACCGTTATGTGAACAAAATTAATATACCCTTGCGCACAAGTGCGCTCGGGTATAAAAAGTGCTAACACTTCTGAGAAAAAAGTTTTAAAATGGATGAAATTTCGTTAAATTTTTTTAGTGTTCTAAAAAGTTTTATACTTGGGTTTCTATGTTATTTGTGAGGGAATGAACTGATAAGCAGCAAACAAGACCATTTTGAGTTTGGTTCAAAATGATATGTTCAACACTATATAGTGCTTATCATAACTTTACGACACTCGCTTATTGACAAGATTTGACCTATTTATCTTAATATTTGTTTATAAAAATATAGTATATTCTTTAACAAAAACCATATAAATCCAAGTTTCAATCTGTGTGCGAATTTATGTATGTATGTACTTTGTTAAATGGATACGAGAAATTATAAAAGAGACTTTTAGTTAAACGTACGCCTTTATTTAAGACATTTTAGCTATAATTGGTCGCAACGAAGTGAGGCCGGTATTTGCTAGTATTAAGTACATATTATGATACAAAATGCAAAAGGGGTTTCCAATTAGAGCGGGTAGATGCTGGCGGCTTGTTGATTCCTCATCAACAACTACCCGCGCTTATTGAAAACCCTTTATATACACTGGCGACCAAAAGTGAGTGCATGGTGATTTGTGTTAAATATTTGTATTGTTATTAATCTAACTTTTTCAAAAAAATTTGGGTATTTAGATACATCGGCTATGAAATTCTAGTAAAACAAGTGGAAGTTCTTATTGACTAGAAACGTGAATTTCTTGTTTAATAAAATGCGCAAGACCGTTTGTAAAAAAAAATTAGATACTCAATGCTAATTTGTATAACATGCGCTTGTTATATGANAAGTGGAAGTTCTTATTGACTAGAAACGTGAATTTCTTGTTTAATAAAATGCGCAAGACCGTTTGTAAAAAAAAAGTTAGATACTCAATTCTAATTTGTATAACATGCGCTTGTTATATTAAAATAAAATTATAGTTTAAAATAACTAAAAACACGCTGTTATTACAATAACAACTGAAAAGTACAAAATAATTTATAGATATACATAAAGACTGTAAAGTTAGTTGCAGCTTTTTGACGTAATTTTCAATGGAACATCTGTCAAAAGCGCAAAACGCAGTCAGAAGAAGAAAATATTTTAAATCAGCGCGATTTTTAGTCAATAAGAACTTCCACTTGTTTTACTAGAATTTCATAGCCGATGTACCTAGATACCCAAAATTTTTTGAAAAAGTTAGATTAAAAAGTGAAAAATTTTGATGAAAAATTTTTGACATTTCCTAAATTCTGCATAAAGTTTGTCAGTTTGACTGATGGGGTTTTGTTTAAAGCATGAACATTTTTATAAAAAATAACAAAAAAAATCTAGCTATAAAAACAATTCAAATATTTAACACAAATCACCATGCACTTTTGGTCGCTAGGGTACATTTATAATAACAAATACATTCATTAATTATTCAAAACGCCTGGTTTCAATGATTCATCGATTGACTTAAGTCTTTGCAAAATATCGGTTAATAATTTTGTTTGCTTTTCATTAAATTCCATTTTTTTNTTCAATGATTCATCGATTGACTTAAGTCTTTGCAAAATATCGGTTAATAATTTTGTTTGCTTTTTATTAAATTCCATTTTTTTTCATCCTGCTCCTTAATATATTGTTTAATTTCAGCAAAGGAGCTGCTGAATGCATTATTTCTGGCTCGTGAGGTCGATAGCTTATGATAAGAAGCCCCATTTGGAGAGTCTATTAAAGACTTTACATCGTTTTCTTCGTCCTCCTCATTGACTTCTCCTGCTTGCAACTATAACCATTATTTATAAGTAGAAACTACCTTTTGATAAACATATCGATGGTCCTCTGCAATAAAGACCCAATTCATAACAAAAAAACCTTACTACTGAACAATGACAAATTCCCCTAATCCTTGTGTGATCCATGTCTTGTCCTTACTAAATCTTTATGACTGCTTTATAAATATCTGGGAAGGATTAGACGAGGATTAGAGACATGTGCCGCTTAACAGTAGTAAGTTTTTTTTTTTAGTTTTGAGTTATGTCGTCTTGCAGAGGACCATCGACACAAGCATATTACTTCTGTAAAGCCAGCTTCTTTTGTTCTGCCATCTCCTTCCACCATTGCTGACGGGAAGAACTGTAGAATTTCAGAGTCAATTTCTTCCAGCGGTGCAGGTCCTTCGCTCGCAGGCAAATTGCCGGTTCGGTTTTGAAACCTTTTAATTTCTGCCTGCTGTTTTTTTACTGCGCACTTCCAGTCGGCCCAACTCTACAAAAAATATATATTATGACTTCATCATACCTTTTTTAAAAAGTACTCATATATATACCATTTTCCACTGCTCGGCTGTTTTGCAAGCTCCTCCAGCTGCGTTAAGCTCCACAGCAACGGCTTCCCACACATTGCGGCTGTGCGAGGCGCTATTTGGACCGCCAAAATTTCCCATTGCCACCTTCTTGTTGTTTTTCATTAAATCCAGAAGTTTTACTTTCTGAATTTTTTTAATTTTCCCACTTCTAGTTTTTTTCTGCAAGATGAAATTAATAAAATAAAGAAACTTAAGATATTTATAAGCACACACTTCACTCATTTTGCTTTTTGCGCCAAATATCACTACACTTAGAGCTGGCGATATAAATATCGCAAGGTATATCGAAAATTCATTTACACCACACTTACAGAAACACTACCTTGCGATAACTATGCAGAAGGGTTGCATTTTGCGATATAATTCATATCGCAAAGATACAGAAACGGGCTACTGACCGGTTGGGAAGCAGCCATTTGTAATAGTAATTGAGAAAAAAGTGTGTGACGTTCGTAATTATGAATTTTGCTATTTCTGTTTTGCTTCTTTCTTTATGTGTATTTTGTCGGTGGTTTATTTCAGTGATTTTTAAGCTATCTTCAATAACTTTTTGTGCAAATGTAATTAAAATGAAGTGCGCGGTGATTGGTTGCAAAAATACGTTCAAAAATAATAAATTGGCTAGCACAAACATGTGCTACAAAATTGCTTGCATTTTTTTCTTTATGCTTCGTCTTCATATTCTTTGTTTACTTTTCAAAGAAAATAACATGGCGCCGAAATTACAAACGTCAACCAGAAAAATACTTTTTTCTTTTGCTTCATCTTGTCAGATCTTGTGTAGTTGGATCATGACCCTTGAGGAACGCACTGGGTTGTGTGCTGCTATTTAATGGCCTCCCTCAGAATTTTTCTTCGATTTCAGGGTTGTGTGCTGCATTATTATTAGGTAAATAAATTTAAGAATTTGAGAAAATTTTATTAAACAAAAATTATAAATGGTGTTGAAAAACCAAACAAACGCTCGTGAGAAATCTCTATTTTTGTGTGTTGTTAAAATTTATACATGGCATATTGATGGTAATACAAGCTATGTATTCTATTGTGGATTTTATCTTACATGAGAATTTAGACAACGTGCGAGTTCCCAGGTTCTGTTATCAATATAATTAACACAAGCTTTTCAGCGTGGTTGCCTTTCAATAAATAGAATAAACAAATATTCGCAAATAAATTGGGTTTATTTTATAACTGAAAACTAGCGTACGCTTTTTGTTCTTTTCTCCATTTTGATTTTGACTCTTTATTACCGCCAACCACTTTATGTGTATACATATTTACAAGCTGTCAAAATTTTGCGTAGTCCCACGAGCTAGGTAAAAACTATGGCATTCGTATTCACAACGAGAAATCTCAAAATTTTTGTTTGGTTTTTCCAAATTTTCTCTTTTTTATCAGTTGGCAAAATCCCTTAATGGCAGCGCTCCGAGCGCTGAGATAGTAATTTCATGTCAATTAGTAGAAAAGTTCCATGTTAAAAAAACTTTTTATTCTGGCGAGAAAATTTTACATTTCTGCTGTGCCAATTCGTAACTTTTTACTGCTGG